TAGCTGCCCTCTCCCCATCAGAATGTAAATTCTGTGTCTCTTTTGCTTCCCAGTACCTAATGAGGGGTTCAGGTCAGGCCTTGTCAGTGAATGCACTGAGCCTCTCCTAGGTGAGGTTCTGGAGACATGGCCACTGTTCAGTCATTGCCGCCCCTGGAAAATGACTCTTGACAATAAAACCCAGATGAGCTCAACGCTTTTAAGCCTTTCCTTTCAACCAGAGAGGCCAGTAACTCTGGGCCCTCCCTCCCAAACCAAATCGAAACCTTGAGTTGGCATTTCTCAGTTGTGATAGCATCTCCATCCAACGTGGTTCCTCTTCCTTCCTCCTGCCACATTTTCGTCAGAGCGCTTTACCCTCTTTTCTTATCATCCCACACTGACGCTTACCGCCTTCAGCCCAATCCCCATGCGCCAGCAACCAGCACGACCTATCAAAGGCTCTGTGAGGCTGGCTCTGCCTACCTCCCAGCATGTCTTACTCTCCCGTCTTTCCTCTCCAACCTGCTGTTTGCACGTGCTAGTCCCATTATCTGGAAAGCCTCTCTTATTTTTGTACTACTTACTCACTCTCAGATCAGAGTTGGAGAATCACCTCCTTAGGGAATCTGCCCTGTGTCTGCCCTTGCCGCTGGATCAGGAGCCGTCCCCCAGCACGCAGAGCCCTCTCTCCAGCTCCTTTTCTGAGGGTGGGAGGGAGGACGGGTACAGCATAATACCTCAGAGTGTGGCCTCTGGAGCTCAGTACCTGGCTTTAAATCTAGCTCTGGAATTTTCTAGGTGTGTCTTTGCCTGTGGGTAAGTCATGTTACCTCTCAGACCTTTGGTTTCTTTATCTGTAAAATGGGGCAGTAATAGCACTGACCTCAGAAGATAGTTCTGGAGGATGAGAGAATTTAGTACACAACAGTGCCTGGCCCATAGTTAGCTGTATAGAAGCGTCTGCTATGGTGGTTACTCTTACCATTTTTCCTTCTGTAGTTGAGTAATTTGCTTGATTAACAAGGCCCTCTCAACAGACTGGGAGCACTATAGAGTGCAGCCTGCGTCCGTTTTGGCTCATGACTGTACTCGGCACAGGGCCTGGCCCAGGGTTGACACTCAGCAAATGCTTGTCAAAAGAAAGGATGTGTGCCAACCCCGTGGTGGTCTGGGGCATTGGGAGCAGATGGTACCTGTCGGCAGTCACACTCTTGAGAATTTTGCATAGCGGAGGTGGGTGCAGTAGGCGCATGAGGCCTCCATGTATAGAAACCACCCCTCCACTCTGTCCACCCCACACATCTTAGTCTAAACGGGGTAGGGAGAAGAAGTATATGAGCAGGATGTTATTTTTGTAACCAAACTAGAAAAAAGCTATGACTTTTTTAATGTCCCATTTGAATTTCAGCTTCTCACCAATCACGCTGCGTGCAGAAGCGGCTGTTCATGGTTGACTTGTTCCCCGAGATGGCCTCACGAGGTCATGCTCTCCTTGCCCAGAGCTCAGGGTTCCTTGATCCTCGGGTGTCAGTAGACACCTCTCATCTTCCAGGAGGAGAAAACAGTGTCACGCAGGACATGGAGTGAGGGTGGGAGGCCTGTTGATGGATTCCCATTTTGTGTCTGTCAGGTTCAAGAGAGAGGTCTTCCTCACCGCCGAGGCCAGGCAAGTGGATATTCTCCCCAAGCAGCTGCTCTGTGTTCTGCTTGGGACTCGGCCTGCTTCCAGCCAGGGAGGCAGAGGTGCATGGCAGAGTTGCCACTTATTTAAAAATAGACCTTTCTTTGACACATGTATAACACTGAGTACTTAATCTGCGCCAGGCACAGTCCTAAGTGGTTTACTTGCATTATTTTGTTTAATCTTCACTAAGTGAAGGGATTATTGCCTTTATTTCATCATTAAGGAAGCCTAGGCTCAGTGCTTGTCCAAGGTTACCCTGTTGGCAGGCTGCCTTAACAGCAGAGCCCAGATCTGTGTGATTCCCAAGCCAGAGCTCTTCTTTACTGTCCAGAGATGATGAGCAAAGGTGCAGAGATGCGGCGTGCGTTTGGAGGGTGGGTAGCATAGTGACCTTGTGAGGACGGATGGCCTGAACCCAATGAGGCGAGGTTTGTTTGGAGCCTCCACAGCTTGGTGTGGAGACCGTCTTGAGAGGGTCTCCTGCAGTCTCGTTTCCATTCCAAACCAAAGGCAAAGGCCTTTGGCGAGAAGGAAGCAGCAGTGTGGATGTGTGCGTGTGTGCGCGCGCACACAGTTCGTCTGGCACTTTATGTCGGCACTGTCAGAGGTCTTACAGCATCTTCCCCCCTACGCATTTCATCTTTACAGCAACTACAGGCGGTAGATTCTGATAAGTTTATCCTACAGCGAAGGAAAGTAAGGTGTAAGTAGGTCAAGTCACTTGGTTGGAAACAGAACAAGTAAGCTGAGGAGCTGGCCTTCAGACCCAGACCTGTGTCCCTTCAGAGCACGCAGGCGTAACCCAGGCAGGCTGAGGTGGCAAGGGTGCCATTTAGACGGGTGCTCTGCCCTGCCCTGCTTGCAGACCAGGGGCTGACCCTCTTGGAACTGCCCCCTTGCATCCTCGGCCATGGGATGTGATTGGCCATATTGCTGCCCAGCCGCATCTTTGAGCACATGCAAGAACAGAGGCCCAGCATCCCCTGCCACTTCCTGCCCCAGCGTGGCCCGCTGCTGCCCTCACTTCACAGGACAGCTGAGTGCCACACTTGCTTACTGCCTACCACCAAGGCCGGCTGTGCTTTGGGCATTATAAAGGCACATGATACGTAAGGTAATTCCTACCCCCTGGGAGTGTGCACATATGCACAGAACCTCCAGTAAGACCCAAGATGTCAGCTGCCAAGGGCTGTGTGTGCTGGAGAGGGCCAGCAGCACACAGAGAAAGCGCTGTGGAGGAGGCGGGCAGGATGTGGGGAGAGGAGAGCCTGGGAGGCACAGGGACATCTCAAAAATTGCCGTTTATTGAGCACCTGCCATGCACTCTACAGGCATTGTCGCCTCAATCCTCACACAGTCCACGACCCGGGTTGTGCCTTTGCTACACTACAGATGAGGAAATGGGCATTAGGAAGGCTGGGTGACTTACCCACACGAGTGATGTAACCAGCAGTCTAGCCCTGGTTTGTCTGAATTCAGAATGTGTAGGGGAAGCGTGGGAAATGGGGTAGGGAAGGAGAATTCATACCTTTCTTAATGAGAACCTGCGTGGTGGCCAGAGCGAAGTAGCTCACAGTTGTGGGAGGCGGAGGACAATGCATAACTGTTAAGAGACCAGGACGACCATGCTGTGATGAGAGCTGCACAGAGGAGGGGACATCCAAGTCAGAACCAGGTTCGGGCAAGCAGGTTGGCTCAGGCCTCCTGGAGGAGCTTCCCTTCGGGCTGATTCTGAGGGAGGGATAGGTGCCAGCTTCGGCGAGGCAGGAGCAGACACACAGGAACGGGGCCTCTGTCTCCTGGGCCGAGGAACTCTTCTTTGTGTTAAGAGGCGGATTGGGGAGCCCTGGGCCACCAACAGTCCCCCGCCACTCCCTGCGCCAACCCTTGCGCTTGGGTTTGGAAGGAGAGACCTCATGTAGTCCCCACTGGTGAGCGTGTTAATTAGGCAGCTTCTTTGTCTGGGAGGGGCCCTGCGTTGAGTCTGAATGAGCGAGACAGTCATCAAAACACATGGTGCTTGGCCAGAGGCTCCTTGGAAGCCCCTCTCCCCTGCCCATGTGGCCCCCGCCTGTGCGCAGGCATGGAGTGCACGCTCGCGTGTTCCTGGCTGTCTGCCCACGGTGCACGCTGGCCTCTGCAGAATGAGAGAGGCGGACGGGGGCTCCAGTGAGAAATGGGCATGAGGTTTTTCCCAGACCCTGCTGCAGGAGGCTGAGTGGGCCGGTTTCCCCAGGAGTCTAGGCACGTCCACCTTAACTGATGGGACGTGCTCCCCTGGCGTTGATATAATGTGCCCCAGCCAGCGGAGGGCTGAGTGGCCAATCACCACCAGGAGGCGGGGTGCCCTGCACCTGGACAGTCTGTGTTCAGGTTTGGGATTTGGGCTCATTTGTGGCCCTCTGGACTCGAAAATGCCCTTTCACCTTCCAGCACCTTTATGACCCCTGGTCCTCAGAAACTTGCTCTCAGGTACAGCTGCCTGACCCTAGGGGATGGCAAGTGAGAGCACCGCCCTCTCACTTGCCTCGCAGCCCCTCTGAGATACATGAATATTAAGATTTAAAAGGGCAGGCATGGAATGCTCCCCAGGGCATATAGCCTGTGGGGAAACAAATTGTAGGGCAGTCACAGGGTGGAGGATCCGAGCCCCTGGTCTCAGGACTGGTGCTTGCTGCTAGGCCATCCAGAGCTCCAAGGGAGACGAACTCGAGAAGACCTTGAATTTACAGAATTTTCTTTTCTAACTGCTTTCTTGTCCCAGGTCATCTCTGTGCCAGCAATGGGGAAATCGCTGCCTGAGCTCCTACCCAAGGGGCCGGGAGGAGGGGCCGGTGCCGGCTGGGACCCAGGGTCTGGTCTGCCCGCCGGCTGGATGAGGGCCGGCTGTGCCTGTCCAAGAGAATGTAAGCTCCATGAGAGCAGGGTCCCTGCCTCGTGTTTCCACACTTGGGCCTGGCTCTCAGTCAGATTTGTGTGACTGAATGGACAGACGGCAGGCTGCCAGCTGTGCGTGCCGGGCTCACCCAATGTCGCGGAGAGAGCACTGCTCTAGGGTGGCAGACTTGGGTTCCGGGCTGCACCCTGCTGCTTATCAACCATGTGGTTTTACAATGAATCTGTTAACTACCCTGAGCCTCAGTTTCCTCAGATCGACTTGCCTGGGTGTATGTAGAAACAGTGTATCTTAAGGGTAGAGTCCTGGGTAGAGTCCTGGGCATGGCCCTGAGTGAGGGCACTGTAGTGGCCATGTTGTCCCAGGGCCAGGTTATGGCCCAGCCCCTTTTCTAGAAGCCCTGACAACCATGCTGACCACTCTGCTCTGCTTCCTCAGACCTTCACAGCCTGGTGCAACTCCCACCTGCGGAAGGCCGGCACGCAGATCGAGAATATTGACGAGGACTTTCGAGACGGGCTCAAGCTGATGCTCCTCCTGGAAGTCATTTCAGGTAAGGTTCCTCTTTGATGAAATGCAACCCACACCTGGAACAGCAGGTCCCCGGGACATAGCCCACCCCATCTGTCCCGTCGCTGCTAGGAAGAGTGAGGCCTTTAATGGCTGCAGTGACAGTGTGTCTAAGCATGGGCCTGTCGAGGTGGGACCACAGCACTGTGGCAGCCGGTTCTGGAGAGCAGTGGGGACCCTAACGCTTCTCTTTCTCTTCCTCTTTCTCAGGGGAGCGGTTACCTAAGCCGGAGCGGGGCAAGATGAGGGTGCACAAAATCAACAACGTGAACAAAGCACTGGACTTCATCGCCAGCAAAGGAGTCAAGCTGGTCTCCATCGGGGCAGAAGGTGAGCTGGAGGGTGGAGGCTCAGCTCCTGACCTGCAGGCTCTGAGGCCCAACTTCTGCCTTCTGGAGAAAAGTTGTGTTGGTGGCTGAGCACTCGGGGTGCTTAAAGCTCCTGTGTATCATCAGCAGTGATTACAGTGACTGCCTCAATGTGATGTTGGGCCCCAAGTTCCCTTTCCCGTCTACCCACAGAATAGTCCGGTCCAAGACTGGGGACTCCAGCACCCTGATCACACAGGGCAGGATCCTTCTGCACAGGGGAGGAGTGGCTTTGAGTTGGGTCCTGGATGCCCTCACTCACCGTCCTCATACTGGGCCTGGGAGACACTGACAGACATGCATCATGGCTTCCCTCTGTGCCAGGAGCACCTTAGCCTATAAGGCCCCGCCCAGTCTGGCATCTGTTGGTGGGAGGGGATGCAGAGAGAGAAGGCCCAGTGTCAGGGCTCTGGGCAGGGAGTGCAAGTCTAAAGGTCAGTGACCAGACTTTGCTGGCTGCATGGCTGGGAGAGTTTGGCCTCTGAGTAGATACCCAGGATCCTTCTGTGCCCCATGGGGATACTCAGGACTGTGATCCTCTACTCCAGGCCTTCCCACGAGAGCAACAGCGTGCTGTCCCTCAGCAGGCTCTTGTCTTGGCCCACAAGCATCTTTGGAGACTGGATCAGGCCTGATGGAGCCCAGCAGCCTGGGCTCATAGCTCTGTTCATTAGTCAGAACAGCGTTTCGTATTCACCAGCATCCGTGTTGTCCCAGCTTTTAGAAAAACAAAGAAAACTAATTGCCATTAATGACAAGGCTCTGAGAGTTTGGCCAAGACTCTAGGCCAGAATGCATGTACTGGGTTCCAAGGCGCTGTCCCCTCCTGGGACCTCTCCAGAGAGGGGTGCCAAGCCTCACATGCCACAGTCGAGGTGGTTGGTGTTTGTTTAAAAGAATCAAAACTCAAAAATTCAGTCAGGCCCTGAGATTTTTTTTGTGCTTGCATGGGTCTGTCCTCCTGGCTGCACTCCAGCCTTCTGCTTCCCACAGCTGCATTTATTTTTCTCAAATACTAGCCTGTAAATACAGAAGGTTAGAGGAGAGACCCATGGTGGTCATCAGTTTTTGTTTGGAGAAAAACTCAGTCTAAAAATGTTTCTGTTCATGCCCAAATTGGTTTACTCCCAATCCCTGCGACCACCAGGCCTTGGGACAACGCTGGAAGGCAGCCTATTGGAGACCTCCTGAGGGCTTTGGAATATCTGAGAGCCTCAGCCCCACCTTGCCGCCATCTCCGTGTCCCACCAATGATCTAGACAGTTGCAGGAACATGGCTTCCTTGTGGAGATTGTGAGAGGGGACAGGAGTCAGAGGCACAGCTGCAGTCTTGAGAAGCAGCTGGTGGATGTTGTGAGAGAGGCCATCTTCCTCCCTTCACAGGAGCTCTCAGCCCTCCATAACTGGCCAGGGTTGGGAGCTGTGGCCTATCCATACTCCCCCTGGCTCTGGGTGTCTGGCACTTGGGAAGAACGCAGCATAGATTGCCTTTGCCCCACACTGAGAAGGCTCTGCCTGGTTTCCGGGTCTAGCGTTCTTAGCTCTGGGGAAGGGCTGGCAGATACAGTGTCCTATCCCTACCTCCAGGCTACGCATATTTCCTTATCCTGAAACTAAAGCCACAAGCTGCCCTGGACCATAGCCCATGGCTTCACCACAGGGAGCTTCTTCATCCCGGCTAATAGAACCCCTACCCTTTCTTCTTTATTATGGAATGTGCTGTTGGGGAAGGTTGGGCCCTCTCCTCTGGATGACCACTATACCTCCCCTCCTTTTCAAATCAAGCCCACCCTAGAGTTTTCTGTTCTTGAAGGTCAGTGAGCAGGGTCCCTTGAAGTGTGTCCCTCCATTCTCCCCACTCTTTCTCCTTGCATCTGGTATGGTGAGGTGGCGGGGGGGCGGGGTGGGTGCAGAACGCATTTAAAGGACTGCCAAGGACACGTCTGGCTGGACTCCCAGAATGAGGCCACTTGCACTTCTGTCACCCAGCAATAGACACATGGTACCCTGAGTGTTGCACAGATAACTTTTTCTGAGTTGCTGAAACTGAAGACTCTGTGGTCCAGAGCCTCCTCTCACACTCCCAGAAGTATGAGAGACTAGTTGGTTTTCGGTCACTTAAGAAAGCATGCACCTGTCAGCTGAGCCCTGTTCCCCCCGTCCCCTTCCTTTAGCAACATCATATCTTAAGTACCAGGTGTGGGTACTGGGGATGCGGTGGTAATCACAAAGGCAGACGGTGAACAAGTAAACTAATAGGTACAGACAGGGTTCCAGCTGACAGCCGGGTGGAGAAGGCAAGGTCCTGTGGAGAGAGGCCCCAGGACGGGCGCAGGGGGCACCTTCAGTTAGACTGGTGGTCAGGGAAGCCATTTTGGAGGGCTGGCATAAGCAGAGGCTTACAGGATGGAAAGACCAGCCAGCTGAGGAAAAGATTGAGAGATACACTTTGTGGGTGGACAAAGGTGCGAGATCCTTAAAGCAAAAAAGAGCTTGGCTTGCCCAAAGCACACATCTAGAAGGTGCTGGAGAGGGAGGGCAGGTCACCCAGAGCAGGCCTCGTAAGCTGGACTCCAGATCAAGGGCTTCGTTTTAGCCATAGTGGGGCTCTAAGTAGGTGAGTGACACAAATCTGATGCACTTTTTAAAGGGACCGCCCTAGCGGCTGTGTGGAGGTATAGTGCAGGAGAAGGTGTAGGAGGCAGCGAGCCTGTCAAGCTCTGGGGGAGATGACAGTGGCATGGACAAAGGTGGCAACAAAGGGTTGGAAGGAAGTGGTCAGGTTATCAACAAACAGTAGCAGAGCATGCAATGAAGGTGTCGACAGAGGGCCAAGAACAAGCCTCAAGGAGGAGCAAGCAGTCTTTTGAGCTGGGTTAGGATAATGAGCTGGCCAGGTGGGAAGAGGCCTGCCTGGCTGAGGACACACGTGTACAGAGGCTTTTGGGACAGTGCTTCCCACAGTGTTCAGAAGACACCATCTCCCGGTGAGGGTGGTGGAGGACAGGCCTAGGCAGCTTTGTGGGACAGTTGGAGCTAACTCTAGACAAGTCAGGAGGGTGGCCTGAGGGCGTCTCACTCTAGTTTGACAACCGTCTCACCCTTCTCCCCCTTGCTGCGTGCAGAGATTGTGGACGGCAATGCAAAGATGACTCTGGGGATGATCTGGACCATCATCCTCAGGTTCGCCATCCAGGATATCTCTGTGGAAGGTAAGAGCCAAGAGCCTGCTGACAGCAAAGAACTGCCTTCTCCCCACCCTGGTTCAAGAGCCTGCTGACAGCAAAGAACTGCCTTCTCCCCACCCTGGTTCCACCCAAGTTGGAGAAAGTTAGTTTAGGGTTTTGGGCATTTTGTCTTCATTCTTTGAGACTCTTCCCTGTCTCCCGGTGTCACTCACAGGGCCTGGTGCTGCTCAGGAGTGGTTAGTGGAGATGGCGGCCCAGGCTGCAGGTGAAGGAGGTCCCCCTCGTGGCCGCCCAGCTGTGGTACCCATCCAGGGTCCTTAGTTCTCACAGCCTCCATCTTGGTGCACCCTCACACTGCCCTCGTCAAGACGGCATGATCGGCCCCATTTTAGTCAAGGAACTTGCATTGCAGAGCGCGCTAGTGACAGAGTCAGGCCTCATCTGGTTCCCTCGAGCGTCAGCGCCTACACCGCCACCTTTAGTCCTTTGCCTCCATGGACCTGGGGTCAGTGCAAGCCACCCAGGAATGAGCTGCTTCACTTCCTACAAGTACCAGGGTACAGCACAAGATGAGAAAAGCCACCTGGGCCAGTGTGTGGAGGGGGCCTCTGGCAACAGGCCACAGAGGTGACCAGGACACATATATTCCCTGCCCCCATAGCATGTCTACTCTGTTAAAGGCAGCGGAGCCTAGGCCCCTTGGCTGACTCTTCACTCTGTTCAGAAGCGGCCAAGGCCAGCATTAAAGGCTTGTTGGACGTTACATTCTGGCAGTTAAAGCCACAGGCTTTGTGGTCAGAAACATGGCACAGGTTTAGGCCCTAACAGTGTCCTCTCCCTGCCACTTCCTGGAGTGACCCCGGCAGTGACTTCATGGGGCCGTGATTGCGATCAGCGTTTAGGCTCAGCAGAGGCCTGCCCGTGTCTGGAATGGGAGACACAGTCACTGCTGTTGCTGTCTTGTCTGGTGCCCTCTGCCCCAAGTTCTGCCCAGACCAAAAGGATGGGCTGGGTCCCGAAGGTTTCATCGGAGCCCGTGCTCACTGTCCACGTGTGTTTTGCAGAGACCTCTGCCAAGGAAGGACTCCTGCTCTGGTGCCAGAGGAAAACGGCGCCGTACAAGAACGTCAACGTTCAGAACTTCCACATCAGGTGGGCGCCGGCCAGAGCCCCGGCCCAGCTCGTCCCCTCCCCGCTCCCCTGCGGCGCTGTCCTCCCACCTGCCCTCTTCCTGTGTTGTTGTCATGGTCTATGAGATGCCAGCCCTCAAGGAATCCCTCTCCCTGCCACTGGCCCCTGGGAGCCGTCGTAAGGTCCCTGTGTCCTCTCCCGGGGGGAGGAGGTAGTGGCGGCGGCAGTTGCCTGGCTGTCCTGGGCTGAAGGCTTCAAGGCCTGGCTCTCCACCAGGCCTTACATCTTCCTCCTCCCCAAGCACAGTGATTCTCAGAGGCAATAACAGAGCTCTTCCTTTGTTTTGACCTCAAGAAGGACGTGTCCTTAGAGTCGCTAGTGAATTGAGTGTTGGGGAAGATGTACTCTGTCCGCTGTGAGGAACAAGACTCAGCCCTGCTGTGACACTGCTCTCAGGCGAGAGGAAGATGAGATGTGTCCACTGTCACTGGGACACAGACGAGCGTGGTCAGTGCCACATGAGACCCACGTGTGGCAGGAGGCATTGTGCCCTAGTGGTTAGGAGCGAGGATTTAGGGGTGGCCCTGAGGTCAGATCTGGCTTGGCCCTGTGACTTCACTCTGAGCCTCTAGTGTCCTCCTAGGGTGGACGAGCTATGGAGGGGCACAATGAAGAATGGGGCCTCACGGGGTCCACAGAAGTTCTCTGTATCCCTGGACTGGATGTTGGGGACTTTCGCATTGTGCCCTGCCATTAATAGCACATGGTCCCTCCCTTGAGCTCCTGCCACCAACTGGCTGGTCCTCTGTGCACTTCTTGTTCATTTATTTATTCAATTGATAAATATCCATGCAGTGCCTACTACATGCCAAAGGTGAGGATACAGCAGCAGCAAAATGGATCCTCATCCTTGGAAAGTTACCCTACAGCAGAGGGGACAAATAATTGACAAAGGTTCAAATAAACTAATAACATAATTTCAGATAATGAGAAGTGCTATACAAAGACCATCAAATAGGTGAGGCGATAGAAAGTAACCTGAAGAGTACCTCGGTCAAGGGTGGCCTTCCTAAGGAGGTGACATTAAGCTTGACCCCAGAAGGAACCAGCCCTTAGAAGATCTCAGGGAGGAAAACGTGACTAGTCTAGCTTGTGACGAGCTGTCATTTTGCTCTGAACAGAGATTCTCATGCCAAACCACACCACATCCTGGTATTTAGCCAGCCCGTGGGTCAGGTCAGCCAAGGTGCTAAGGTCACACTGCACTGGCGCTGGCCTTCCGTGGTGGGCCATCTCCCCTCAGTGGGCCTGTCCAGTTCAGTGAAGCTTTGCGTGAACAGTGCTCTGCAGGGCATGGTGCTCCCAGTAGCTAGCAGACAAAGGACTTCTCGTATGTCGGGCACTGGTCTAGGTGTTTCCATATTGACATATTTAATCCTCATGACAGCCCTCTGAAGTAGGTACCGTTTTATAGATGTGGAAACTGAGGGAGCACATCACAGGACTTGCTCACTGTCACCCTGACAGTAAGTGGAAGAGCCAGGATCTGATTGCAGGTCTCCCAGCTCCAGCAGTCATCTCAGCCACCCTGCCATACCGTCTCCCTGCAGTGCCTGGCACATCCCCTAAACTGCTTCAGTAAACAGGCATAAATTATTGCCCGTGGTGCCCAGGGTCTTCCCGCACTCCCATCACGATGACTGGCCTCATAATCTTTGCCTTTCTACCTCCAGCTGGAAGGACGGTCTTGCCTTCAATGCTCTGATCCACCGGCACCGGCCCGAGCTGATTGAGTATGACAAGCTAAGGAAGGTATGCGTCTCATGCTCCCCTCAATGGCCCACAGACACCCTGAGTCTGACCTTAACTCGGGTGACAGCCCCCAAGTCCGTCCATGGCTGGCCTCCAAAACTGGAGTCTGCTCTAATGGGCAGGCTGGAGGAGCTTGTGCCAGCTGTCACCAGACCCCTGGTTCAGTTCTCGCCTTTCTTGCTCCCTTTGGAGACTGTCCCCTTCTTCCACTGGGCATTGCGACCTGGCTAGCCATGCCTTCCAGTTCCCCATCCCTAATTTGCTCAGATTCCGGAAGCGTTCCTTCTCTGCCCGTGGGAAGGAAGGGTAAGGAATTCCAAACCACCGCCGCTGGCAAACATTTCCCAGGCAGGGCCCTGGTCTGAGTTGCCTGTACAAAGCTTGTGACCCTGAAATGCTCAGGCCCTGCCTTCTAGGAGCTCCCAGCCTGTGGAGGAGGCAGGACAGTGTCAGAGCAAGCCAGCCACACGAGGCCATGCACCGGTGAATGGGGTGATGAAGGGCTAGGGCCAGACAGTTCTGCAGAGAAAGGGTAGTGCACCTGGGCTGGCACGATCGGAAGGGCCACTGGAGGAGGGCGCAGCCTAGACCAGGGAGAGGGCATTCCGGGTGGGGGAGGCAGGGCCTCACCGAATCTGCTCAAGCCACAGTGAATGACGGAATTGGGCTCTACCTGGCAAGCAGTGAAGGCTGATGAGGGCGAGTCCCAGTGAAGTGGGCCGTAACCCCACGAGCAGTGGGAGACAGCAGGAAGGAATGGCTTGGGGAGGTTGGAATGTGGAGACGCTCAGTTCGCTCCCCACCCGCCTCCACCTCCCTCCACCCCCAGCGCTGTCTCAGGTCTGGACCATACTTTCCAGGCTTCAGAACAGGGTGCTTAATCTGGGGTCAGTGGATAGTTGGAAATTGTAAGAAAAAAACACACCTGCATTTTTTGTGGAGAAAAGGCTCCTGGGTTACGTCACCAGGATTTCTAGAGGTGTTCCTTTGGGTTGGAATTGACTTTTTCCAGGTGTCTCTGCTCCCCACGGTAGCACAGGTGGCTGAGAACTGCCTCAAGGACGCTTTCCAGTCCTACTCCTTCCCCAACCCAGGCCAGCCCTGGTGCCCTTCTGCTTCTGCATCCTGCCGCTGATGGAGCTCCCCCTTCCCTCACCTCTCTCCTCCTAGGACGACCCAGTCACCAACCTGAACAATGCCTTCGAAGTGGCTGAGAAATACCTGGACATCCCCAAAATGTTGGATGCAGAGGGTAAGTGCGTCCCTCTTGTTCACTCAACAGCTCGTTTTGTGAGTACAGTAACTTCAGAGAGCTGGCCGAGCCAGCAAGAGTGGCTGAAAGAATCCAAGTAAACTGGGGACAGGCCCTGAGCGGGCTGGACATGCTCAGGGATGGAGCAGGGTGAAGAGTTGCGGGGGAGGGGGGCGTGGTTGAGGAGGTCCCCTGCCTGACCCAGTCCCACCCCTCCCTTCATGGGGATCAGCGAGGTGGCCAGGGAGGGCCGACTCCTGCGAATAAGCAAGGTCTCTACCTGCCCTTCCTGCCGCGGACTCTGAGTCTAGAGCCCACCAAAGTGAAGTGTTTTGTTTTTTCCTTTTCCGGTTCGGCTCCGTTTCCCAGCCATGCACCACCCCCATCCAAGACCTATGCCTCTGGCCTCTGGTGGCTCTTGAGGTTCAACTGTCCAGCAGCCCCTTGAGGCCATTCTCAGAGAGAGGAAGTGGCCTCGTTTTAATTCAGTTCCCACAGCCTTGGCTTTCCCAGAGACCATAGGGGATGGAGGGGCCGAGGGTGATGTTGAGCCCACCAGAGTCACCAGGGATCACTGAATCGGCTCTCAGGGTCCTCCCGGGATGGCGGTGGCCTTGGGAGCCTTTGGATCACAGAGAGTGGCCCCCCCACCACCCCAACTTGGGCAGTTTAACCCTTGTCGTTCACTTGCAGACATCGTGAACACGGCCCGGCCCGACGAGAAGGCCATAATGACCTATGTGTCCAGCTTCTACCATGCCTTTTCGGGAGCGCAGAAGGTACCGGGCAGGGCCAGGCAGGCCCACCTTGCCGCCACTGCCCAATGCCACCGCTGCCTCTCGCCTCCCATGCTCACCTCATTTCTCTTGCAGACGGCAGTGGCCTCTTTCTGACTGGAAGCCACCCCTCTCCTGACTCCTTGGCAATGCTGCCCATTTAGTCTTTGCTCACACCGTCTATTGAGTGCTCGGTCTGTGCCGGGCTCTGTTCTAGGCACTGAGTGCGTAGCAGTGACTGAGTCAGGCAAGGTTCCTGCTCTCATGGAGATTACATTCTAGTGGGTGAGGCAGACCACAGGCCTGTCTACAGATGGGGTCATGTGGCGATGAACACAGTAGAGAACATGGGACAGGATAGTGGGATAGAGATGCCTGAGGGCCGCTTTAGCGGGGCAGTCAGGAAGCCTCTGAAAGGCGACATGAGCAGACTTTTGGAGTGATAAACAGAAGCTGTCATGTGAAGAGCTGTAGAAGAGCATTCCAAGCAGAGGTTAGAGCAAGTGCAAAGGCCCTGAGGCAGAAATAAGCTTGGCTTATTAAAAGAATGGCTGGAGCGGAGTAAGTAAGAAGAGGAGAGTTGAAAAACAAGGTAGGAGGAGGTGATAGGGCCAGGCCGTGAAGACCACTGTGGTCTGGGATCCAGGTTTTATTCTAGGGCCCCAGGAGACCATTAGACGATTTATGCTAAGGACGTAGGTGGTTGTGCAAGATGTGATCTTACATTTTCAGAAAGATCAGTTAGAGTTTGACCCCTCCAGCCCCAAACCAAGCTTCCTTTGTAGAGCTGATTCCTAGTGTCACAAACCCAGGCCTGGTTAGGAGAGGAATCCACCTATTCGGATCCCTTTCCCCTCTTCAAAACCTCAGCAAGATGGGCCTGTACAACTGGAACTGGGGTTTGGCTTCCAGTCCAGAGCAAGCGCTATTTCTCCCGCATGAGCCTAGGGCCTGGCCCCAGCTGCCCTCCCTGCATCTTTCACTCTCTCTTGCCTCTCTCTCTCTCTCTTTCTCTCTCTGCGCAGATATTGTAGGCACTCTGAGGCCAGATGAGAAAGCCATCATGACTTACGTGTCCTGCTTCTACCACGCTTTCTCGGGGGCTCAAAAGGTGAGCTGGGCAGGAGCACCCCTGCTACCGAGGCCTGCCCTTGCCATCCTTCTCACGTCCCCACCACCCATCTTTGTTTGGGATCCAGGCCAGACCAAGGGCCGCTGCAGGCGGGTTTCCTGTGACCATGGGCTTCAGTGCCACCACTGAGCCAGTGCTGGTCCAGTGCTGACACGCCACAGATGTTCTCTCTGTGAATACAGCCTGCCCTGTGAGGTGGGTGGTGGCAACCCAGTTTCTCAGGGCAGTTGAGTCCCAGCATCAAAGCTGAGCAGCAGAGCTGCAGCTTGGGCCTGTTCTCAACCGCTCCGCTGCCCCGCCCGTCTCTTCCCGTGGTCCTCACTGGACCACTTGCATGCTGCACGGGCTGTGCCCTTTCTCCAGCAGCACTGGCTCTTCTAGCCCTCTCTACAGCCTCTGCCCCTCCCAAATGGCCCAGGAAAGTACCGGCCTGAGCAGGTTAGACTTCTCTCAGCTTGTTTTTGCTGGCCCAACTCTCCTGACCCCTATCCTCAGCAGCCCTGCTGACACAGGCAGAGCAGTCAGAAGTGTGTTCCCCATGGCGGCTCTCCCTGAGCCTGGCCGACCTCACACTGCCCCTGCTGCACCTGTCCAGGACCCTCTGTTTCCATGGGAGGACACGCAGCTGCCTCTGAGGAGAGAGGCCTGCACAGAGGCCTCAGCGCCTTTGTCTCCACTGCTTGCCTCCTGGTCTCTGGTCTTGGGCAGCAGGGCAGCCCTAGCGACCTAAGTTTTTGTCACCAGTTAGCAAGTGGTTAGGGAGGAGAAGAAACTAGCTAGGTACTCCTCTAAGGACTTCAAGCTCAGGCCCTTAGTCCCTGACACACCCCTTACAGGGTGGGGTGGGTGCTGTTAGCCAGTTTAAAAGAGGAGGACGTTGAGTTTCAGGGTGGTGGGAGCCACCCCGAGAGTCATAGGACAGGGGCTGTGTCTGCTGCCTCTGTGGGCCACCTTCTTCAGAGCCCAGGTCAGCAGGTGCCTCTCTGCGGGCAGTGTGGCCTGCCCTGACACCACTTAGTGGTGTGACCGCGGATCAGTCACTTCACCTCAGTTTCCCCATTTGTCAAGTGGGGTTTATACTGGACCTGTCTCAGCATTGTTCTGAGGAAATGAGCTCATGCAGGTAGAAGGTCTAGGACCATGCCTGGCCCTGTCAGGGCTCCACACGTGGTCAGGTAGTTGGAGCAGCCTTGCCCTTGCCCGCCCTGATTCTTCACAGCCCAGGCCAGAACCCTGTTTCATAGCTTCCCGCCACCTTCCCAGCATGCAGTTGGAGCTTGTGTTTGGAGTGTTTGCTTGAGGGCACAGACAGGGAGAGTGGGCGGGGGTGAGCAGAGACGGAAGATTCCTTTCCACAGATCCCTACTGACAGCACACATGTGGACCCCAGACCAGCCTCCCTGCCTTCTACATTGCCCTGGCAAGAGTGCTTTCTTTTCTGCCCACCTGCGCTCCTGTGCTTATCGCTGAGCTCCATGTGATGGGGGTCAGGAGGCCTGGAGGGATCTGTGGGAGCGGACACTGGCAGGAAGGCCCAGGTCAGAGCATTTGCAGGTTTTGAGGTGGCCAGAGCCCTCTTGGGAGGAAACGAAGGCAAGGCCCCTAGGCAGTGCAAGGTCCATGCTTCGCCAGCTCCAGTCTGGCCTCCCCCAGCCTGTATCCGCGGCTCAGGCCAGCCTTAGGGTCTTCTTATTACTGCTGCTGTATTTCCCCCAGAGACGCAAGCCCATCTCTTAAGAATGCTCCCTGGGGCTTGTTTTCTTCTATAAATGCAAGGTGAACCCCAGGCCTGGCACAAGTATGCCTATTCTCATCTAATAGTTTCTAGTCACTAAAGCATTTGTTCCTTGTTCACTCATTCATTCATCAACCCCGAGTGCCTAAAACACACCAAGTCCTGAGCTGAGTTCCAGGAATTTGTCAGTGAAATAAAACACTTCTGCCTGGCAGCCGGTGGCTTCGTGGGTCTGCATAGCAGAGTGGGTTTCAGCCAGGGATACCATTGTCTCTTCCAAATTAGGGGTCAGGACTAACCTCCACAGCTTCCCCTCAAGCTGCAACCTTGGCTCTGCTTCCTGCACCCCCTTGGGGCCGGGTGTTCACTGGCCAAGGCCCTCAAAGGAATACTGCCGGGGCCATTGGCATGTGTCCTGCAGCATGATGCAGGGGGTGTGTGTGTCTGTGTATGCGTACACACCAACCTTGGCTGGTCCCCCACTCACCTCCCCACCTGCCTGTCCCAGAAGCTGTGTGTGGACGGGAGAGGCAGGGCGTCAGTGCCTGCAGCTACCTGGGTCTGGAGCCATCCCCAAGCCTCTCTTTTCCTTCCCCACCACTCTGTAGACCCTCCTCACTATTTCTGTTCCTGTTCTGTTGCCGTTTCAACTCTTCCTCTTGGACCCTTTCTGTGATTCCTGAAAGGTACCTGGTCTTCCTCTCTCTGTGTGGCACCCCTCACCCTCCTCCACTCTGCACATTCCTCCCCAGCAGGACAAGGCAGGACACTGTCCTGTAGTTTGGGGCAGAGACTAGTCCCTGTTTCCCGTGGGCCCTGCTCTTTGGAGCCCTAGCCTCATTCTGCCCAGTGAGCTGTCAAGCCCCTCCACAGGGAAGAATAGGAAGTGTCCCAGCTTGCTCTGCCTATGCCCCAACCACCAGGCTTCTCCGGGGACACCAGCGTTTCCTCCCTCTGCCCGCCCCACAGCTCTGATGCTCCGCCTCCCTGCAGCCTGCCTTACCACCCAAGGCTTGGCCTGCTGGAGGACCCCACCCAACCCTCCTCTTGGTGGGCCACTAGTCTGTTAATTCATTTTCCCCACCGTGGGAGGGCTCCCCAACCCCACCTCAGCACCTGCAGGGGCCAGGACCAGATAGCCTAGGGGCCTGGCTATCTGGGCAGGAGCCTGAGCAGTGAGCTGTGGAGATATGGCAAGGGCTGTCGGAACACAGGCACACAGGGCGCCATCTCACTGGAGCTACGCTTCCTCTCCATCCCTCCTCGGGGACTTCTGTGTGGGCCATGGATGAGCCAGCTTTCACGGGACATGCCTGTCAGGAGGGAGGGTTACTGGCCCCCAGGCAGCCCTGACTGTACTTTCCCCGCCCCAGGCTGAGACTGCAGCCAACCGGATCTGCAAGGTGCTGGCTGTCAATCAGGAGAATGAACACCTGATGGAAGATTATGAGAGGCTGGCCAGTGACGTAAGTGCACCACTCACCCCCAGCCCTGGTGACCCCGCCGGGGCTGAAAGCTCTGGTCATCTTTGTTACCCTTGGCCAAAGGTCTGTGGCTCTTGCAGAAAGGGAGAGCAGATATGGCAGTGAGATTTTCTAGAAAAGATGGTAAGGTTACAGACTCTGGAGTTTGTCCAAGCCAGTATATGACCTTTTGGGTTAGTTTCACAAGGCTAAGGGTCAAACTGGTATGTCACCATGCTAGCTGGCTTCTGGGGTCTGCCCTCTCCACAGTAGCCCTGTGAGGTGGAAGTATGTGTCACCCCCATTTCCAGGTGAGGAAACGGAGGCCCAGGAAGTTCAGGCACAGGTCCACTTTCCCACAGCTGGTAGGGCAGAGAGTGGGGCTCAAACCCAGGCACCCCCGCCCCAGAGCCCAGCGCGAAACGCCTGCTGGGAGTGTGGGTGTTCAGCACATCACAGCTCTTCTGGATCCTCTCAAAAGTTTTCATACTAAAAAAAATAAAAACATTTAAGTTCCCAAAGGGTAGTAATTCAACTGCTCTTCCAGACAGTGGTTCCCAGACTCTGAGATTTCATGGACCAGGAAAGCTTGGAAAAGTCTTTAGCAGCCAACTTAACGGTGACCAGCTTTTTATTTTGCCGAGTTAAGGGGGTATTTAAAAAGAAAAGGCTGCCATCTGTTACCACCACCATTATTTCTAACACCAAGAAAAGGTTAAACATTTATCTATCTTAGAATCCTAGTCCTTCCCAAGAAAGGGCAGTTGGCACCATTTATCAAGATGGAGACACACAAGGATACCCTTGTCCTTGGTTTTCTCATTTTACCAGAGGTCGTCACTGGGAATCACTCCTGAGCGTTTCTGCTCTCCTGGGATTGTCCTAGAATGTTTAGTTTGCTTGTTTGTACCTTGTCCTCACCCCATCAAAGACATGAGTAGCTCATAAAAACATGTCACCTTCTTTTCCAGACTTCCTAGTTTTTTAATGTCCCAGGCCCTGAGCGTGGTGCTGGCTGCCCCCTAGTGAGCCAGGCACTGACAGTGAACATGGAAGCAGTGAGACTCGCAGATAGTGCTCCGCTCAGTGGCGATGGTGGCAGTGGGGCCACGTGGTGGGGCGTGATGGGGGAGACCCCCCAAGGAGGGCCCCTGCTTACACCTGAGGAAAAGGAAGACCGAGAGCAAAAGCACGAACAGGAAGTAACCAGAGAACAGCACAGTGGTTCTAAGGGGCACATGTTCCCAGAATTCCCTGCTGTGGGATCCCAATAGGAATCGTGGAGAAGTTGGGCTGGGGAGCAGGGGTGATCCCCAATATGGGACCTTCAAAGATCCAAATCCCGTGGGCATGTGAATTGGGGGTGGCCCTGTCGGCACTCTGAGGACCCCCTGCAAAGGCCACGTGGCTTTTTGTGGGCCCGCAGCTCCTGGAGTGGATCCGGCGCACCATCCCCTGGCTGGAAGATCGCGTGCCCCAAAAGACCATCCAAGAGATGCAGCAAAAGCTGGAGGACTTCCGTGACTACCGGCGTGTCCATAAGCCTCCCAAGGTGCAGGAGAAATGCCAGCTGGAGATCAACTTCAACACGCTGCAGACCAAGCTTCGCCTCAGCAACCGACCCGCCTTCATGCCCTCTGAGGGCAGGATGGTCTCGGTGAGGGCCGGGCTCTGGAGCCTAAGCGGTCAGGGCCCAGGAGGCACAGCCTAGCTTCTGAGCCCAGCCTGCCACCTGTGGGGCTGCAGTCTCCAGACTTCCCCTAGACTTATTATTGGCCAGCATAGTCTTTCTTAACTAAAGTGCACAGCCTTTGGGGTACAGAGGTTGGGTGGGGATACAGTTGACACTTTACCACCATCTCCTTATCATTCCCTACAGTTTCACACCCATCCTCAAACCACAGATAGTTTGTGTGGAAGTATTTGAATTTGGAACCCTAGATAGCCATGCCTCTCAGGGAGGGACAATATGCTCCTTGTACACATTCATTCTTTCACTTAATTCAAAGAACTTACTTTCATCTGCTACGTGCTGGGCCCTCTCTGGGCACAAGGATATAGCAAAGCGGGGGTAGATGTGATCCAGCCCATTTCTGCTGCCCTCCCATCAATGTTCCTCAGGGAGGCATCATCCCACTGGGTACCCCAGCCCCTGGGATAGCCTTGCCCTCTCATCCCCTCCCACTGCAGGACATCAACAACTGCTGGCAGCACCTGGAGCAGGCCGAGAAGGGCTACGAGGAGTGGCTGCTGAATGAGATTCGCAGGCTGGAGCGGCTCGACCACCTGGCAGAGAAGTTCCGGCAGAAGGCCTCCATCCATGAGGCCTGGACTGATGGTATGTCCTCTCAGCTCTTTTGTTCCGTTCCTGTCCCTCAGAAGCACACGCACGTGCGCACACACACATACCACACGACTTCCCCTTTCCTGCTGCTCGGGGGCATGCATGTCAGAAATGCTGCTCTAGGTTTATCCAACCCCAGGCAGCAAGAAGCAGTTTGAGGCCTGGTCCTCCTGTTGCCTCTGCTCTGGCCTCATTGATTACTTACAAGGGGGCCCTTCCTGAGTCAGCAGAGACCGGCCATCCAGGAATGCAGCTGAGCCCCATCCAGGTCTATCAGGAAGTGACCCCTGTCCCCGTCCGCAGTGCCATGTCTCCCACACCAGGGTGGGGCGGGGTGGGGGGCGGGCTCTCCCACCCAGCAGCCTGCATACAGACAGCCTGCCTTCCCCCTTCCACACCGTCTGTGACCGGGGGCCTCACCCTGAGGAGCCCCGCTGCTGGGTGGGCCTGGGCTCCTGAGCACAGTCCTGAAAGACAAGGTGCAGAGCCTCTTTCCTAGGGGCCTGGCCCTCTGTGGGATGGCTTCTCCCAGAAGGGCAGCGGTGCCTCCTGCATCTCGGCAGCCCTGCAGCTGCCTGTTCCCTTGGCTTGGGATGTGGAATCCCATCACGTCCCTGGCCCTGGGTCAGGACCCACACCATGGGTGGGATTCCAGATACGAGGGGCCCGAAAGCCTCAGGAAACGGCCAGTGCCTGGGAAAGCCAAGCCACCTCACAGGCCTCCCGCCGCCCCCGCGCCCCCCCACTTCCTTCCCAACTCTATCTCTACCCTCCTGCTACCAGTCTGCCCAGCTGATTTCACACTTTCTTGCATTGCTCAGGGTGGTTTTTATCCTTCCCACACCCACATTTCACCGTGAGATCCTCACTCAGCCTCTGGGGGATTCTCCAGTGCCCCCCTGCCAGCTATTTGTCAGGCCGCCCCACCGCTGGCCAGATGCTGAGACCTACCCAGATGCCGCACCCCTGCTAGCATGGGAACACACAGCTCTGTGTGAACTGCAGACCTGGGCCCATGTCACCGTGTCCCTGGCTGCAGCCCCACTAATGCCCTCCTCACAGTAGCTCAGGCCGGCTGTTCTCCAGCAGTAGCTGCCAGATCCAGGGCCGCCTCTAACGCAGCCTCTGTCAGGATTAGAATGCGGGGGGAGAAGCCGGGAGGTGAGGCAAGGAAGAGGCCTGGGCCAGGGATGCCTTACAGAAATGGTGCCCGTGGCTTCACTTCCCACCAGGAGGAGGCGGTGTTGGCATTTACTTCATTTGTTCCTTCATTCATTCCACAAACACCTCTTGAACCTCTTCCCTGTACACAGACAGTATTTTCCCAGGTGGGTAAGGTCCCTGCCCAGGGACCTCCCAGGCCATCAGAGTTTGGCATTTCTCGCATCGGAGGGCCCTTGTGCACTCAAGTGGATTCATAGCACCTGTGTCCTGCGCTTTGACTACACCTTTCCCCGTCACTGTCATGCCTCCACAGGCTCTGGGCATCACCCTCTGCATTTCCCTCTGGGGTCTCCCAGCCTGTGTTATCAGCATTTCCGTCGTTTGCCTGGAGCTCTAGGAAGCCCTGGGAAGGTGATCTTCTGGGGTCTGAGGGTGGGGGTGCGATGGCCCCCCTGGAGCTCCTTCCCTGGGAATGACTCGGGCTGGCCTTCATGTGAAAGTGTTTAGAAGTCGGCCCAACCTTGCTCCAGGGCGGCCTCCACAAGTCCCTGCCCCACCCATGCCTCACCCAGCCTCCTCCAAGCAGGTGCGCAGGCGCGCTTTGGCATTTGGTTCTGTGACTGAGTCAGCTCGGAGCCCCCAGGCAGGCCTGCTCACTCATTCGGAAGACCTGAAGCCTCTGTAAAACCAATGCAAAACAGGTGGACAGACCAGCCTCCTGGCTTCTTACCATCCCCCACGGCCTTCAGGGCTGCGGGTCCATGTGGATGCTTCTCAGATGGTCTTGGGTCATCTGGGGAAAAAACAGAAACGAGCCTTGCACCACTTCTGTGACTGCCCTGAGGCCCGTGTCCAGGGTGCCTGTGGCCCCCTCCTCCCAGCGCCCCTTGCCAGCCCTTGCGGGGACGCTGCTGAGGCAGAGGAGTGGTAACATGCTATTTTAGGTTCCCGCCCTTGAGAGGAGGGAATTGCAAGCTTGCCTTTGTGGCTGAGCCTCCTACCCCAGGGCCAGGGGGGCAGGGCCAGCCGAGTCAGTCTCCCAAGCCGCTGTCTCCTGCCTGCCAGTGCCCAGCCCTGTCCTTGGGGTGACTGGCTCTGTGCCTACCCTTCTCAAACACCACCTCACAGAGACTGTGGACTAGGTGCTAGTGTTGGCCCCATTTCACAGATGAGGGAACAGGCCAGGAGAGACTGCGCCACCCCACTGCACTGGGAGGGCAGCTATTGCTTTGACCACAAGCCTGCGGGAGGGGGAGGGGAGTCTCTGAGCTACCATTCCAGGGGCAGCCCGAGGTGGCTTTACCTGAAGTAGCATTCCTTTCCAGGCTGGCTTTTTCCCTCATTTCTGCACTACCTTACTATGCTTACAGGGCTGACTTGAGCTTCTGGCCTGGGGCATGTAATTAGGCAGGCTCCAGAACTAATAACAGTGTTGCTCCCTTTCCGCCTGCCTCACTGCCCGCGAGAAGCCCTTTGGAAGGTGCAGGGCCAGCAGATGTTTATCGGACCACCACCCCAAACGCCAGGGGGCAGCAGAGGGTGGGCTCCCGGAAGAACCTGACTGGAACACTTCCGTTTCTCCTACCTGCTGAGGCATGGGCTGCACCCCAGCCACTTCTCCAGATCAAGGCTCAAGGCTCTTCGCACATGGTGTCCACGATCCAGCTCTCGTGGTCATCTGCCGCTAAAGGACACTGAGTTTAGAACACAGTTTGAATTGGGATATTTGGCTCATGCCCACAGTGTCTTCCAGCTCCATCCAGGACTTGGTTGGGCTCAGAGATCCCTGGAAAGGGCTAGGGAAAATGTTCCAGAAGTTTCTAGCTTTCACGGCACCGTTGTCAGCTAGGCAGGATGTGGGGTCTGCCCCATTCCCCTCCCGATGGTTAGATAGGCCTCTGGTGGACTCCTGCTGTGCTGTTCTCTAAGTGCCTCCTGCCCGCTGCCCCGCCCCCAGGGAAGGAAGCCATGCTGAAGCACCGGGACTATGAGACCGCCACCCTGTCAGACATCAAAGCCCTCATCCGAAAGCACGAGGCCTTCGAGAGCGACTTGGCCGCACATCAGGACCGCGTGGAGCAGATCGCAGCTATAGCGCAGGAGCTCAAGTAAGTGTGGGCTCGCGGTGTCCCGTCACCCGCTTCCCCTCCAGCACTCCAGAGCAGTGGGAGGCGGCACCCAAGGCCTGGCTCCCCCTGGATTCCACCTCCTTGCCTGCCACACGGAGATCACTGGCCGGATAGGGCGGGCAGCCGGCCTGCACCCCCACCCCCACGAACTGAACTGCAGGGTGCACAGAGAGCCCATTGTTCCCTTCCCTACGCTGCTCAGAATACACTATTGTAAGAGCTTCCAGCCAGCCGTGTTCTTTGCCCTCCCTTCCCTGCCCAAGTCAGATAAACTTGTGCACACAGTTAGTACACTGAACCTCCAGAGCCAGTGAATGGGGGCCTTATTCCACCAGGCGACGGCCAGCAGCAGGGAGGATCCAGGGAATGGGAGGCCCAGGCCTTTACTTCATGGAAAATCCACAGGTCCTGAAGGAGTGGCAGGTCTCCCAAAATAACCATCTGCTCAAAAATGGGATCCTTGGCTAGTACTGCTGTTTCCACAGACACCCCAACCCCGCCACAGCCATCCCAAGAGTTCTGCTTATTCCTGCAGGGGGACCCGGCATGTTGCCTGGCAGAGCCCTGTGCCCCGCGCCAGGGAGGGCCGGTTTCCCCCCTGACCCCCTCCCTCTACGTTGCCCAGTTGCTTGGGCCGGGGGGTCGCCTTGTGCTCACCCAGAGGCAGAAGTACCATGGGGCCTTCACAGTACTGGGAACACTGCACCCCTGTTGGAGGCGCCCCTTTGTGTCTTGCAGTCTCTCTTAGGATGTAGCCCCTGCACTCAGCATGCCCAGGACGAGGTGACAGGCGCAGATGTCTGCAGGGGTTGTGGGAGTGGTACATGGGTAGGTTCCCTAGTTGACAGGCGAGCCCCTGGAAGCTGCTAAGCAACAGACTTGGACCAGACCCTAGGCCAGCCACTTCTCAGGCACTGGGGAACAGCCGTGTGGAACCCATCACCCGAAGCCAGGGAGTAGGCGGACCCCGAAGCAGCTTTCTGGACAGTAGCCCTGGAGGAGAGAAAAGGGGACTGTGTAGGGTGTTGTTGCTTTCCCCAAAGATAAGTCAGGACCAAGGGGCCAGCCAGGACAAGCCTGGAGGGACATCCTGGGTGAGAGTTGTTAATGACACTGACAAAAACCCACAGAGCACTCAGCACTCTGCCTGTGCCAACTCGTTTAACCCCCAGCATGGACGCCTGGTAGCGTTAAACGTTGGTGTCCCCTCTCCCCCCAATACAGAGGGGAAACCGAGGTCCACAGAAGCCAAGGGCCTCACCCAAGGTCACACAGCTGGGAGGTGATCAGGACAGAAGTGGAACCCAGGCCACCTAGCCCTCTGGGACAGCCTTGCTCCCTTTCTCAGCCTTGTCTCCCCCCCACCCCTCACCAGGCCCCCAAGCTTTTGGCTGCACACCAACTCCCTAGAGCCCTGCTGCTGAGAGTATCTAAGTGTCCGGACCACAGGAAACCAGTCCTGCGGCTGATGCGGGGGCGTGGAGAGACGGGGGGCGTGTGCGGGCTGGAGCCAGGAGCTCCTGTATCAGCCTGGTGTTTCCCAAACCTTGGTCATTCCAGTAATAATACTTATACCCTAATCAGCTCACGGATCTTTTAAATATATTATTAGTTGCTGAGAATGAGATTGCAGGCTAATTATCTATTTTTTCTTAATACCTATTGAAATACATACATCATCTTTAATGAGTAGCGGTTGCTACTTCTACCTGCTGGGTGTCAAGGACTGCTCTCAGCACAGGCACCAGGTGACTCGCTCTCTGCAGTAACCCACCACAACTTCACAGGAGACAACAGGTCTCCATAGTAGGGTGTCCCTTGCCCCGGGCCGGGGCCACACAAATACAAAATGGTGCCACCAGAATTCAGACGGGGGAGCTGGGCCCCAGGGCCTGTGCTCTACCTGCCCTCTGCTAGTCGTCTTTCTGGGAAAGGCAGTCCACCCGCAGGCTTGCTGGGGGCCCCCAGTGAGCCTGCTGTAGCAGAGCAGGTCATGAAGTGAGCGGGCGGGAGGAAGCCCCTGCTCTCTGCCGTGCCCTCCCCCCACCCCACCTCTCGAATTCCTCCTACCCAGAGGCCATGGGCCAAAGGGGTAATGGATGACTGATAGCCTTCAACATTGATGTCTGTCCCCTGGCACCAGGGCCTGGGACACCTGGGGATAAGTGGGTCCAGGCACACCCTTGACTGCCCCCTGCTGCGTCTCACCGCTCTCCACCCTGCCCACAGTGAGCTGGATTACTATGACTCCCATAATGTCAACACCCGGTGCCAGAAGATTTGCGACCAGTGGGACGCCCTTGGCTCTCTGACCCACAGTCGCAGGGAAGCTTTAGAGGTGAGCAAGGGCCACTCTGTCCCTGAGGACATTCTCTGACCCCTCAGGGCCCCCGGACCCCTCCCACCATCCACCCCCTCCTGCTCGCTGACTGATCTCCCTCATCTGTCCCTGTCCCTCCCTATCCATGCCAGAAAACGGAGAAGCAGCTGGAGACCATTGACCAGCTGCATCTGGAATACGCCAAGCGGGCAGCTCCCTTCAACAACTGGATGGAGAGTGCCATGGAGGATCTCCAGGACATGTTCATTGTCCACACCATCGAGGAGATCGAGGTCCGCCCCCACCCACCCCTCTTGCGGGGCCTCCTGGGGGCCGGGCTGCCCCTCACCCCTTCTCTTCCCCCAGGGCCTGATCTCCGCCCACAACCAGTTCAAGTCAACGCTGCCGGATGCCGACAGGGAACGGGAGGCCATTCTGGCCATCCACAAGGAGGCCCAGAGGATCGCCGAGAGCAACCACATCAAACTCTCAGGCAGCAACCCCTACACCACCGTCACCCCCCAGATTATCAACTCCAAGTGGGAGAAGGTGGGCAGTGCCCGTTGGCAGGTTGGGGCGGGGCATGGCCGGCCAGGTGAGGTTGACCGCCACCCTGACTGTTCTTGATCCGTCCCCTCCCCCAGGTACAGCAACTGGTGCCTAAGCGGGACCACGCCCTCCTGGAGGAGCAGAGCAAGCAGCAGTCCAACGAGCACCTCCGCCGCCAGTTCGCCAGCCAGGCCAACATTGTGGGGCCCTGGATCCAGACCAAGATGGAGGTGAGGGCCATCGCACAGCCCCGCTGTGCTCAGGGCCGAGTGGGAAGGACCCCCAGTGAGCAGGAGGCCTCCAGCCCCTGGGGGAAAGTGGGGCCCAGCTTTCACCGGCCCGGTGGGACTAAGAGGGTGGATAACATGATATGGGTGGAAATGGCAGCACCACCCAGAGGGCTGCCTGGCTAAGGAGTCAGGTCGAGGTGGGTTCCAGTTTCGTCTCCACCCTTAACATGATCACGAATTCAGGCCGGGTTTAACTTTGCACCTCAGTTTTCTTGTCTCTAAAATGGGGGTGAAACAGTTATTTCATTCCCTCGATAAATGCTTTCGTGTGTCGCGCGCTACTCGGCACCAGCCCTGATGTGAGCCCTGTCGCGTAGCTGTGACCAGGATATTCTGAGCTCGGACCCTCACAGTGTGCTCACAGTGACCCTCGTGACCCCGTGACAGAAAGGCTTGTAATGATGCCAGTTGTGACTCTGGCCACCACTTAGCGAGTGCTCACTACATGCCAGGCACATGCTGAAACAGTAGCCTGGGGGTGGTGTAGGCAAGGTGGCCTCGGCTCGGTGCCGGCTACACAGCAAGGCCACTGTGGGAACCAAGGCACGGGGGTGTCTGTGCCCACGACCCACAGGCTCTGGAGTCAGCCAAGCCTGAGTGTCTCTTACTGTGAGAGGCGGCTCTCTTGGGCCTCGTTGCCACATCTGCAGACAGGGTCTGTCACAGCGAGTCAAGGATGCAGTGAGGTTAGGCATGCCTTGCGCTTGGCACAGAAACTCTGCAGTGTGGCTGCTTTTTCACTAGAGGGCAGCACTGGAGGGGACAGCAAGCCACAGACCTAGGAGGGGCACCCCTGAGCAAAGGCCGAGGGTCCACCAGACCCCCACCAGTGGCACTCGCCTTCTGTGCAGGAGATCGGGCGCATCTCCATCGAGATGAACGGGACCCTGGAGGACCAGCTGAGCCACCTGAAGCAGTACGAGCGCAGCATTGTGGACTACAAGCCGAACCTGGACCTGCTGGAGCAGCAGCACCAGCTCATCCAGGAGGCCCTCATCTTCGACAACAAGCACACCAACTACACCATGGAGGTATGCCGCGCCCCGCCGGAGCCCCACGCCCTGCGTTCCCCGCCACGAGCGCGAGGAGCCCCGTGCAGCTCTTCCTCCTCTCGCTCTGACTGAAAGGCTAGGTCAGCATGTTTACAGCTTTCCCGCCACCATGACGGCGCCCGTCTCAGGACACACTCCTGGGAGAGCAGGGACGGCAGCACCTGCCCCACGGTGGCCTCAGCAGTTGGTGCTAGCTTAGGGACACAGATCGAGGCAGCGTGTACTGGAGTCTGTGTGCACCGGCTCTCCACAGCCGGGTTGTGGTGTCAGGGCTGGTCACCCTCATGTTGGTAGCTTGATATCGTCCATGTTGACAGTCTTTAGAGCATGCATACCACGGATGCCACAAAAAAAAGAAAACGAGTCCCCCTTCCCCCAAAACCAGTTAAACATTGCCCAGCATACCTTGGCAAAATTTCTCTGTGGATTCTGGCGCAAGTATCGGGCCCTGGCCCTCTGCTGCATTCATCACCAGGACATATACTAAGATGGCATGAACCCTACTGGTTGGCAGAGGCATCAGGGGGGTGCCACACCTGTGTCCCTGTGTGCAGATGAGGTACACAGAAGAGCATGGGTCTTGACTGGCAATTGGGAGACAGAGTCAGGGCAAGCCTGACTCCAGGCCACACACACAGACGTGCGGGGAGAACCCAGAACCCTCAGCTGCGGTGGTGTTCCCAGCACCCCCCCACACACACATCCAGCCCACAGTCACGCCCTGGCTCCTTCCCCAGCACATCCGTGTGGGCTGGGAGCAGCTGCTCACCACCATCGCCCGTACCATCAACGAGGTCGAGAACCAGATCCTCACCCGTGACGCCAAGGGCATCAGCCAGGAACAGATGCAGGAGTTCCGGGCCTCCTTCAACCACTTCGACAAGGTGAGCAGCTCCCTCCGCCCCTCGGAGTCTTCCCTTCCCACTGCCGCCACTGTCACCGTCCATCCCCTCTGTCTTTGCATCTGTCAGTTCTTCACATCACAGTTGCTGAGTATCAGCTGCTGCTCACAGGGGCTGGCGGGGCCCTAGCCAGGGAAAGGGGTACAGAGGTGACCGCCCTGACCCACAGCATGAGCATTCTCCCTCAGGTCGGGGAAGGGTCCCAAGTCCTGCCTCTGGGGGTGTGCTGATGAGACCCTGGGACAGACGAAACCCCAGCACACCGGGTTTGGAGACCTGGCCCGTGCATCTGGCCCACACATACACTGTTCTTAAAATTAAGGTTTGGGCTGGCAGCCCCTTTAAAAGGGTCTGAGTGCCAGAGTCCCCCAGTCCCCGGCAACCCCGCTGGGCCTGACGTGTCGTCGGCCTGCCTTCTGCCCGTGGGTAGGGTTGTGCAACCTCAGTCCTGCTCTGTCAAGCAGGGACCCTGACGTCCCAAGCAGGAGGGAGTGCAGTCCCCTTCTCCTGCCCTAAAGCCGGGAGGCGGGGCGCACCCCTTCCCCAAGCCCTAGTCCTCGGTCCTCAACTCCCATCACGGTAGAGGCGGCCTCTGACTGCCCCGCAGGGCATCCACGCCCTTCCACCTGCCTTAGCTGTTCTTGGCCATCACCTTGTCCACGTCACCTCTAACTCTGTGTTCCCCCCAACCCTCCGCATGCGACCCTGGCCCCTCTCCCCACCTCTGCGCCGGCCTGGTCTCCACACACCGCCCCTTGCACGCCTGCCTCTGACGCCCGGCAGGACCACGGCGGGGCGCTGGGGCCAGAGGAGTTCAAGGCCTGCCTCATCAGCCTGGGCTACGACGTGGAGAATGACCGGCAGGTACGCGCCCTTGGGCCCAGTGGACCATGGCATTAACTGCTCTTCTCTCTCTCTCCCCCCTCCGTCTCCCTCGCCATTCCGCCCCTTGCCGTTGTATGTGCGTCTCACTGGCTCTCTTACCTCCTCCCTCCCTGTGTCTCTCTGGACACCTTCCCCCTTACCTGGTCTCTCGGGGCCACCTCTGTCTCTCCCACTCCTGCCACTGTCCTGTTTCCCTGCTGTGCACATGGGGCGGCCCCTCTTGCCTACTCTGGGCCTGGCCTCCTCTGCTGTCCCTGCGTCCTCGAGCAGAAGCAGACAGGCAGCATGGACTCCGATGACTTCAGGGCTCTGCTTATCTCCACAGGATACAGCCTGGTATGCAGCCTCCGCCTCCCTCGCTGCTGTGCCGCTCCTCCCCGCCTCCCCTTCCTGTCCCTCCTCCCCTCCCCCTGCCTCTCCTGTCCCGCCCCCTTTCTCTCCCTCCTCCTCTTCGTGCCACTCCCCTCCAGAGTTCCCAGGTCCTCGGGGACACCCCTCCACCAAAGCAGTGCAGCCCCTCGTGCCTCCTGCTGCTGCATCTGCTGGGCTGGGGTCCCTCCGATGACCCCCTGAGCCTCCCTCTTCTTTTCTTGGAAGTCTCTGGAGAGAGGAGGTCAGTCCTCCGGCTCCCCCTTTCCTTTCTCTTTCTCTCTCTCTCTCTTCCCCATCCTCCAGAGCTGACTTGTGAGCCTAGGGCTGAGGAGCAGCAGACCTGTTTGATCTACACCCCACTCCCCACTTTCCAAAAACAAGGGAGGGGAGGAGCAGAGGGGGCCCGTCCCCAGTTTGGGGCACATGGGGCAGTCAGCCCAGGGAGCCAAGACCCTTGGAGACAGGCTGATGACACAGCATGTATGCTGGGGTCAGGCCCTGCCCTCCAGGCTTGGTTCTGCCCGCTGTGCCCAGCCACCCTACCCCACTCAAAAGCTGCCTGTCCCCTACCCCACTCCTGCCTCACAGGGCGACGCTGAGTTCAACCGAATCATGAGCGTGGTTGACCCCAACCACAGCGGCCTTGTGACCTTCCAAGCCTTCATCGACTTCATGTCCAGGGAGACCACTGACACAGACACAGCTGACCAGGTCATCGCCTCCTTCAAGGTCCTGGCTGGGGACAAGGTAAGCCAGATACCTCCGAGCAGCTGGGCTGGTAGGGAGGGGCTGGGGGACCAGTGTGGGGTGCAGGTGGCCCAGAGTGCTGCCCTGCCGCCCCCAGAACTTCATCACGGCCGAGGAGCTGCGGAGAGAGCTGCCTCCGGACCAGGCCGAGTATTGCATCGCCCGCATGGCGCCGTACCAGGGGCCCGACGCCGCGCCGGGTGCCCTCGACTACAAGTCCTTCTCCACAGCCCTGTACGGCGAGAGTGACCTGTGAGGTCCCCGACCCGACTCCCCTCCTCACAGCCTCCAGAAGGGGCTGGTGGAGCCCCTCTGCCCCCCTCCCCAGCTGGGGCCCTCTCTGGTCCGTTCCTCCGACTCTGTATCTATGCAAAGCACTCTGTCAGTCCTTCCTGGGGTGGGCGGGGTGGGCAGGGAGGGGCTGGGGCCGGCTCTCTCCTCTCTCTCTGGTTGGCCAGGAGGTTCTCTCCCCCTCCCCATGGCTAGGGGGATGGGAGACTTTCGGGGTCAGCATTTCTGGTTTGGTAAATATATATATTGTTTTGTTTTTTAACTATGTGGAGGGGACGGTGGATCCCCACAGCAAAACAGGTCCCCTCTGAGCTCTAGGAACGCCCTCCACACCCCGCCCCTTCCTTTGCTCCTGAGGTCCCTTCAAAGCCTCCCACATCCAGGCCAAAGCCCTACGTGCCTTGTCCAGGAACCACCCGCACCTGAGATGGGCCCAGCAGGGGGCGCCACAGCTACCCAACAGGAAAGAGGACCCCACCCGCTCCCTGCCCCCTCCCCCCCTCCTTCCTTTGTAAGTGTCCAGAGATGAGGGGGTGCTGCCCGCCTTTCCTGCAGCAGAGGACTAGGGTTGGGCAGACCAGCCTTTTGCCCCTGCCCCCAACCAACCCCCACTTTGCTTTGTCTGGACCTGAGTCTGATTTTCTAAGGACCAAACAAACAAACA